GGGAGCGCGGCCACTTCCCGGCGCCCCGCGGGCAGAGCGGAGCGGAGCGGCGGCGCTGGGAGCGCTCCCGCCCGGCCCTGCCCGCCGCCTGCCCCGGCCATGGAGCTGCTCTGCGTGGAAGGGGCGCCCCGCGTGCCCCGGGCCGAGCGGGACCCGCAGCTGCTGGGCGACCGGCGGGTGCTGCAGAACCTGCTGAGCCAGGAGGAGCGCTACAGCCCGCACGCCTCCTACCTGCAGTGCGTGCAGAAGGAGATCAAGCCCTACATGCGGCGCATGCTGGCCTTTTGGATGCTCGAGGTGAGGGGCCTCCGCCGCTGCCCCCGGCCCGCCTGCGAGCGCCGGCGCCGCTCCGTGCCCTGCCCGGCTGCCCCGGGGCACGCGGGGCGGCCCCGGGGGCGCGCGGGGCTCCGGGCTCGGCGTGGGCTGCAGGGCGGCCGTTACCGGGGCTGCACGAGGCGGCTCCGGAGGCGGCTGCCCCGGTTTGCCCCGTCGCCGGGGCCGCAGCCCCCCGAGCCCCGCGGCTGGAGCTCCCCTCCCGGGAAGGGGCTGCCCCCCTCGCTGGGCGCGCGTCTTTGCTGAATGGGATGAASGCGCGCGGTTAAATGGGGCCAATTCTGCGACTAGCGGCCACTTCCCTAAGTTAAAAACGCGTGCAGCGCTCTGCGGGAAGCAGCTCGGCGCGGGAGACCTCGGGGGGCTCCGTCCGAGAGAGCGGCCGCGGCGGAGCGAGGTGACGGGCAGGACCCGGCTCCCGCGCGGCCGCTGCCCGCTGGAGCAAAGCGGAAAGCCGAATAACTTGCCTTTGGTAAAAGGCGTTTCCCGTTTTTGCTGGTCTCTTTCTGCAATTCCCTTTTCAGGGAGGTCAGTTGTCGTAGTGCCGCTTTGGAGCCTGCTCCCGTGGAGCTCTGAAGGCCGCTGCAAAGTAAATGGTGCTGAAGGCTTTCCATGAGCGGGCACTGAGCAAGACTGGAGACACAGAGCGTTTAGTCGCAGCCACGGGGACATGTGTTTGACCTGTGCACATGGGGTTAAATTCACTTGGAACTTGCAGAACTTGCACCTAGACCTGACTTGTCTCTTTTTTTTTTTTTTTTTCCCTGTGAAAACTGTGGGAAAAGAAAGGGAAAATGCCCCAAACAACAATCAGCCCTGTGCTGAGGAGCTTGTTCTTGGGATCTGTCGGTGGCGGGAGCGGTGGTGGTTGCTGCTGCTTGAGGAGAAACCCCGATATTTCTATGGTTGCATGAAAGAAGGAAGTAAAAATGAGCAGGGCTTTGGTGCTGGCCGTGAGATCAGAGCAGAGGACTGAAATCGAGAACTCCTGGATTCTGTTTAGGGCTGTGGTATGAGAAAGAGGAGGGGGAAGAAAGACCTGTGGGCTCGGCCATTGATTCCTCTCGTGTCTCTGGGCTGCGTGAGGTGGAGCTGCCAGAAGCGACRGTGGCTCCTGCAGTTATTGGGTCTCCAGCTGGAGATGCGCTGGAAACGGTGACTCCTGCGGAGGTCCCGGGGACCCGCGGAGAAGGAAACCACCAGCCTGCTGCTTGCCTGGCTGTAGAGATCCCCAGGGATCCCCAACAAGRGCAAGTGGAAGTACTGCTGCTCTGGCGTGTGCTCTTTCGAACCACCTCCCACTCTTGCTGCGTTCTGTAGGAAAGTGAACTCTTAAGGCTGGTCCAGTTTTCYGCTAGTCTAATTCCCCTCGAGCCCCAGGTTTACCCCTGCGGTTAACTTGCTCCTCAGCGCGACCGTGGTGCCAAAGCCCTTCAGACCAGCGTGAAGCACCTTGGCGCCCAGAGGCTTTGGAGCGGTCGCGCGGGCAGGATCCGCGGAGTCCGGCGCCCGTCGTAACCTCCTTTCCTGTCGCCGGCTTCTGTCAGGTGTGCGAGGAGCAGAAGTGCGAAGAAGAGGTCTTCCCCTTGGCCATGAACTACGTGGACCGCTACCTGTCGTCGGTGTGCGTGCGGAAGAGCCACCTGCAGCTCCTGGGAGCCGTGTGCATGCTGCTGGCCTCCAAGCTGCGCGAGACCATGCCGCTGACCGTGGAGAAGCTCTGCATTTACACGGACAATTCCATCACGCCGCAGCAGCTCCTGGTAACGCCCTGCCCCTGCCGACTCGTGCTGCCCCGTGGCCACGTCCCCACGTGCGCAGCCCCTCCTGCCCTCTCTCCTGCCCCTCCGGCGCCTTCCTCCGCGTTCCCYGTGCAGCCTTCCCGCTCCCTTGCCCCGGTGGATGTTGCTGCTTGTTGCTGGAGCCGCCTTCACCCCACACAGACGGGGTGGGAAGCGGCACCTCCGCGTTATCCCGGGAGCTCCCGGGCCTTGGAGCCGGTACAGGGCGCGCACCGGGGTCCCTCCCAGCCCCAGTGACAGCTCCAGAGAACAAAGGCCCCTGTCCGCGCTGCTGGTCGCMCACAGGGCCGGGGCGGCCACCCGGCATCCCTGCCTTGTGCTCGACACCGCATCCRGCGCCGGGGTTGCCTTTCTGCCTCCCTGGGAATACGAAGCGTTAAGCAGAGAATAACCAAGAAAAACTGGGTGGGAACTTGGTGACCCCGAATTCGCCTTGCTGGGTCGTGCTATCAAGGCTGGCAGAGCTGCCAAGGCGGTGAGGTCTGTAAAACAGGCTGGAAATAGCTGGAATTGCTGCTGCCCGGGGCCCGCTACGAGGCTTGGAGTTGGAGCAGGGCCGCTCGCCCAATAGGGCACGGTGGCGGCAGCTGTCTGCGCTCTGAAAGGCGAAAGGGTTCGTGCTGCTCTATAAAAGCTATTCACGGGGAAGAAAAGAGCCAAACCTCTGCGTCCAGCCTTGCCAACGGGAGAGGAAATTGGAGAAGCCCTTTCCTGGGGGCTTTCCGAGCTCTTAGATCAGAGCCCTCGGGAGGAAACAGCCACCTCGCTTCAAGTAACAAACATCCCTGGAGACMCTTTGTCCATTAGAATTTCTCAGGGTTAATCATCACCTTATTAAATACAAATGCTTTTTATTTTCTTTTTCCTAACCGGGGAGTGAGCGAGAAGGTCTGAGCGTGATTCATCCCCAAGGTGGAGGATGAACCCACAAAACTTTCAGGTGCAAATCAGAAAGCAGTTCTGGTCGCTGGGGGACTCCAGGATGAACATGGTTTTTCCAAGTGCCAATAGAGACCAGGGAAAATCCCCTCACCTGCATATTGCCTTCCCTGTAGTTATTTGTAGGTGCCTCTTCACGAAGTAGCATTCATGAAGAATGTAGATGGTTTCTTACCCTGAAAAATGGGTTGCAGTTGCATGTTCTCGCTCCTGTGTTTCCATCCTCTGTCTCCATATCAGATCCAGACTTAAAAGGGGATCTTGCTGTGGTGATCCTGCAGACACTTGCTTTTCTGGGTGCAAATCAGTGGATATCACCACTGGTTCTAATGGCTCCGTTGGCTGGGTCCTTGTCTGCAAGAGGGCCTTGGTGGACGTGTTGAATGCTTTTTCCATAGAGCCTGGATTGGCTTCGTTGTTGGGGGTTTTTGGGGTGTGGAGAAGGGCTTGTACCTGGAGGTCTCCTTTTTTATTTTCCCCTCTCCTGCTYGACTCTTGGGATACTTAGTGCAACACAAAGCAAAGATGCATTAGCGCGCATCTTGTCATCGTACTTCAGGGTGATGCAGCTGAAGTCAACAAGAATGACTTCATCTTGGGGGCCAAAAACCAATCTTGAGATAACCAAAGATGGCTTTTCAGGCAAATAGGATCGTTTTCTTTCCCAAAGCAATGGTCATGAGCATGCAGCATCCTGTTAGCTTGAAGCTGCAGAGTCTGGTCACTTGCGCTAACCAAATGATGGAGCAGAAGATGGACCAGGCACAGCCCTTAAATGAGACCTGAGGTAGGGGAGGACTCTTCCAGTAAATGTGCTCTGTAGGTTGTGACCTGGCGGTGGCATTTCCCAGCCCAGCACAAAGCTGGTTTAGCACATCCCACCTTGCTGGCCCTTTGCCGTCTGATCTAAAGAAGAAGCAGAGGTAACAYCTGAAGATACTTGAAAGGTTTGTCTTCGCTTGGGGACCCACCAAGAGTTAATGTCTTGATTACAAAAGCAGGATGAGCTGCTGTTTTCCTCCTCTGTGCTAATYGTGGTAATATTACTTCTCTTCTTTCACAACCTTGCAATGGAAGAGGGTGGGGAGGGAAGGRGAGCTTCTTCGTTAAGGCTGGACAATGGTACATCCTGGCCTCCAGTCATGGATSAGTGCCATTTCAGCTCCCAGCTTGTCCTTCCAGGCCTTTTCAAGGAAGCTGGCTCCCTTTTCCAGCAGGTTGGCATCATTCTCTTGAAGGGATGCTTGGCAGCAACTCAGCAGTCCAGAAAGGGCCCATTTAAACAAAATCTTGATGAAGTTATTCTGGGGAGAAGGAAATGATGCAACAAGGGACTTGTCCATTGGAGGAAGTTGGATTTCCGTCGGGGGTGTTATCTAACCTACCTTTCCTTTTTTCATAGAGACTTTTCTGGTCTGTGCAAGAGAGTGTCGAGCTGCTTGAGGACTGAGGGTTGAGGAGAGCAGCTGCTGTAGGTCTCCTTCACCTTTGGCTCGCTAGCAGCCACCTGGTTTGTCCCCAGTACGTCACTTTGGGGCAATGAGAAGGGATGATGCTTGAGCAGGGATGTTCAGTTGGGGTAGAGCATTGACTTCCCAGCTAAGTGTGTTGTGTGGATATCACACACACACTTCTGAAGCACACGCTTCAGAAGCACACTTCAGAAGCACACGCTTCTGCTTGTTGCCCAGGTGGGATGGTTGTTGCCATTGCCACCTTTGAAGTTGACATCTTCACGCTTGACGCTCAGTCTTGACGTCTGGTTGGGGAGTGGAAACCGCTGTTTGCGCCGAGCTTCTCCTCTGCAGAAGGGCTTTCGTGGCCACTCATTTCTGTAGCTCGGGTGCTGGGTGGGCTGGGTGGCCAACAGCAGCAGCGGCAGCTCTTCCCAGCCTCCGTTTGAGTCAGCTCRCGAGCTCGGCGGCGTGCAGCCCGTTCCTGCTCCGCCAGGGTCTCACCGAGCCTGCGACAGTGTAAAACGGCACCTTATCAACCGGGTGACAAAATCGAGCGCAACTTCCTTTCCGTGGCAGGGCCAGGGCTGCTGCGGGCAGGGCGCTGGGCCCCGCGCAGCCTCCCCCGCGTTGGCGCAGCCTCCCCGCTGTGGGACGAGGGCAGAACCCGGTGAACGGGGCGACTGTCGCTGCACAAAGCCGGTGTTGCTGCCGCGTCCCGGTCTGAGGTTGTGGAGCTGTGGGTTGAGTAAAACCTGCCTGCGTGTGAGCCGCTGCCAGAGTGTTGGGGACAGCGACCGGGGCTGGAGGCTCTTCCACGGCCGGAGGACTGTGCTCTGAGATCCCTCTGGAAGGGAGCAAAAGTGATAGGGAGTGGGGGTTCCTGCTTTGGTGCTGYTTGTTGTTATTGTCAAGTTGCGTGGCATTCAGCTGGGCCGGGGGACGAGCCCAGAGYGGGGAAACTCGGCTAGRGAAGTTTCTGCTGCTCAGTGTCCCRGCCTGGCGTGGGGATCCTGCAGAGGTTGGAGGGGTAGGATTGCTGTGGGGCAGCTGCAGCCTTCCAGCCGGAGGGTGGGATCCACCAGCTTGAGAAACAAAGGAGAAATTTCCACTTTTTTCCTCTTCTTCATTAGCCAGRCAGAGGCTGATTCAATTAAGTGCAAACAAAATGCCAGGAAAAGGATGTTTGCTGCAGAGCGGTGCTGCTGCTGCGGACCTGCCTGCTCATCTCCCGCAGCCTTTTGTTCTGCTTCTTCCACAGATAAGTGATTCAGAGGCTCCGAGCAGCAGGTCCCGGGGGCGGCAGGAGCCAGGCGAGGAGCGGGAGACTCTTCCCTGCGGGAAACCCTGGGAGCTGCTGCTGTTCCTCAGCTCCTGCCGCCTGCCCCGGGCACTGCTGGGTCTCAGCATCGGGCCTGTTGAAACGGGGTTTTTCAAGGACATGCTGAACCTCTGTGTTTGGCAGAGCGGTGCCTGCGTCCCGAGTGGCCGGGGTGGTGGGTCGGTGCTGGGGGAGCCTCAACGGCTGCGTGACATGGTGACATGCTCGTCCTGTGGTGACACGGGGCCTGGCGGCGCTGGCTGCAGCGCGGGGGCCGCCTTTCCTGGCCAGCCTGCCGGGTCCTTCTGGTGGCTTCCAGCTTGGTGACAGCTGGAGACAGAGCTCTCCACCCCTCGGGCCTTCCCTTGTGCCACCTTCAGCTACTGCAGGTTAAGCAGTGGTCAGCACTGGGGTTTCCTCCTTTTGTCCCTGCCTCATCCCATTTCAATCGCCCTGTTGTATCACGCACCCCAAACAACCCACGCYGTGATCCTGAGGGTCCAGAGTTTATGGCTAGGTTTCTTTCTGCCTTTTACCCTTAGGAGGRTTTGGCGTAAGGAATAGAAGGACCAGGGGGAGAGAAAGCAGGCTGGCCATCCCTGTGGGAGGCTCGCGACTGCATCCGAGCGAAATGCCGCTTACGGGGTGGAAAGGGCAGGCTGTGGGGTGGCAAGCGGAGCGTTGGGCCCGTGGGGGGTTAGGAACAGGTTGGGCAACGCCGATCATTTGAGCAACTCGGAGCTGGGCTTGTTGTGTAAGGGGAAAGAGCGGGTTTAAAAAARAGAGAGAGCGAAAATGGAGACGTGCCCTTGTGAAAAATCAATCTCACTTCTTGAAATTGGTCTCTGCTAGCACCCCTTCAGCACCTTGTGCAGAAGTGACCCTGTCATTTCAGGCTGTTTGACAAACAGGAGATGTTTTGCAGGGCAGGGCCAGGCCTCGGGGTGGGGGGTCTGGTTAACCATCCCCTTTGGCTTCATCCCCCCAGGCTGAGGGATGCTGGCCCTGCAGCCGGGCACGTGGAGGGGTCAGGGGGCCCAATGGCACCCAGAAACCAGACCTGGCTCACTGCTTTTCCAGGCGCTCCCGGGTCCTGCAGCGGGATCRRGAGGCTGCTCCTTCCTGCTGCTCTTCCCGAGGAGCTGCAGGCCTGTGCAAACCGTGCCGGGGCTTCATGGCAGCTCTGCCGAGCGCTGGCCCGCGGCTGGGCAGGGCTTGGGACCCAAGCCCAGCGCGCAAAGAGCCTGAGCAGATGAGAGGAGCAGCCCCGGCCCCGTGTGAAATCAGCGGGGGCGCTTGGGCCTTTCCTGCCATCTGTTCCCTACCTTGCGAGGGCTCCAGCTAGGGAAGCCGTGGTGGAAGTGCCTGTTCCTGGGCACCATGTGGGGCAGGGCCGTGGGGCTGGGCACGTGCGCTGGGAGCGCGCCGAGCCACGCGGGTGGCCGCAGAGCACGGGCTGAGGAGCTCCCCGGGAAGCGCCTGGGGATGCGGGGCCGGGCGCGCTGGCAGGTGTGATGAGTGGGAAGTGCTCGGCCCATCTGCCGTTCTGGAGCTCCGAGGTGCCGTGCCCGGTGTGTGCCGTCTGTCGGGCTGGTAGCCTCCCCGTTGGGCACCCAGGCGTGTCCCCGAGCTCACGGGCAATCCCAGATGTCACCACCAGTGATGAACGGGCTGCTCGGGGCAGCCCTGGGCGCTCCTGCTTCCACCTTCTCCTGGTTCTGCTCCTTCTGCAGAGGGGACCTGCTGCAGCCCCCCGGCATGGAGGAAGAGGATGGGGGCGGCCTCCCTGCTGCTCTCAGGGCTGGTTTTTCTCCCTGCGTTGGCTGCTCAGTAGCCTTGCAAAGCAGAGGAGCATCGGCGGCTAATCCCACTGCACCTCGGAAAGGAGAAACCAGATTTATCGCTTCCTCTTTTGATCTTCACTCCAAGCTTTGCAACAGCTCGAGCTTGGATTCGTGCCATAATCACAGAGCAGGGACGTTCCCTCTTCTCCTTCTGCCCTGTCTCATGGATTGCACTGTTTGACTGGCCCAGATAAGCTCTGTGCTTATCTGCCCTTGGATCTGGTGCGTGTTTCTGGTGGGCCTGGGCCAGCCGGGTAAGATGTTGTCTCTCTCTCTGACTGTGCAGGACTGGGAGATGTTAGTCCTGGAGAAGCTAAAGTGGGACCTCGTGTCCGTGATAGCGAACGACTTCTTGGCTCACATCCTCTACCACCTCCCGCTGCCAAAGGACAAGATGGAGCTGGTGAAGAAACACGCGCAGACCTTCATCGCCTTGTGTGCCACAGGTCGGTGCCTCCGCGGGAGCCGTGCGGCCCCCGTGGGCGGGCAGGGCAGGTTGAATCTGAGCTTTATCAGCTAAGTCACTAGAGCAGCAGCATCKTTGGGGCTGGGACGAGCCTGGAGAAGGAGCTTCTGGGAGCCTGCAGCTCTGATACGGAGCCTGTCTTCCTTGTTGCTTCACTCCGTTTCTGCCCGCTCTGTCCRGCCCTCGCTCCTGTTGCAGGGAGTTCAGTCCCAAGACGTCCCAGGGCGCACACGTACTTGCTCATGGCTCATTCCTGCCTCTTGTGCTGCCGTCCCCATTCTAGATTACACTTTTGCTCTGTACCCGCCGTCCATGATCGCAACCGGCAGCATTGGAGCCGCCATGCACGGTCTCACCGTCTCCCTGGATGACTTCAGCGGGGAGGCCGTCACCGAGCTGCTGGCCAGCATCACCGGCACCGAGGTGGTGAGTGCTCCACGCCCTGCCTCCCTCTGCCCCGTGTTCTTCTGCGGGGCTCGTGTTGTCTGCCATGGGGCTGGGCTGGGCTGGGGCTGGGCTGAGCTGGGTTTGAGCAGGGCCTGCAGATCAGGGAGCGTCTCCAAACGCAGCGATGGGTCCTGGGCCCGGAACCTCAGTCCGGCCCCTTGCTGGGCTCTGCTCTGCCTGTCCAGCTGCCCGCGAGAAGCACAAAGGGCAGCGGCTGTCGGCCGGGCAGACAGGTGTCGGCGGGATCGGGTTGACGCGCTGGGACGGGGCCGGGCTCCGCATCTGCTCCTCTCGGCCGGTGTCTGGTTACCCGGCGGCCGAGGCATCGGCTGGGCATGCGGGTGACCACGGGGATCTACCTGTCCCTCCTCTGCCCTCCCCCTAGGGAAGGGGGCCCCAAGGAGACCCCCGGGCTCCAGATCGCTACAGCGAAGAAATCAGGAGCCTTCCTCCTGCCGGGGCCTCTTCTGGCCTGCGAATCTGCTCTTTGCTGCTGCCCGCGCGCCGGCAGCCGCGCGGGGTCGGTTGCAGTCCCCCGACAGCAGCGCTGGGAATTGGAGGAGGCGCCTGCGCTGCCGGGGGCCGGGACCTGGCACTGTCTGCGTGTGCGGGACGGGGCCGCCTGTTCTCTTAGCACGAGCTGGGATTTTTTTTTATTTATTTGTTGTTTGAGCCTTTTTTTAAGCAGTGGATCGGCGCGGCCAGCTGCTCTCAAGCTGCTGCGGTGAGTGGGGCAGGGGCTCAAACCTGCCCTGGGAGCAGAGCGGGTCGGAGGCAGCGGAGGAACAGGTGGAAAGCAGGGAAGGGAGCTGAGGAAGGTTCCCTCCCTTCCACCCTCCTCTGCCTCCAGCCCTGCTGCTCCTGAGCCCTTCCCCACCTGCTCTGGGACTCGGTTTCCCTGTTGGCTTCAGCAGGGAGGGACCTGGTTCCTGCAGGTGGGAATGCCCAAATGCCCCCAGCCGGGGCTGCTCCCTGCTGGAGGTGCCGGAGCTCAGGAGAGGCTGGCACTGCTCCACACCCGCTGATTCCCAGGCCCCGCGGGATTCCCGACGGCTCCCGGAGAGCCCGAGGAGGAGCTGGGACCCCCGCGCTGGGCACGGCGACGCTGGCGCCCCGGTGCAGCTGCCTGCGCGGAGCCCGGGAGCAGCTTCTAGGCTCGTGTCCCCTCAGCTCCCCGCGGGGTCAGCGCAGACACCACGGGAACGGGCCCCGCTGGATGGTGCCCCGGACGGGGACCCCTGGGCTCGCGCGGTCGCCTCCGCCCCTGCTGAGGCCGTTGCGCGAGGCGCCTGCGGTGGAAGGGTTAGAGGCTGCGCTTACTGGAAACGYGCCGGGAAGGGGAGGTGGGCGTTGCTATTTTTGCTCGCCACATCCTCTGACAGTTTCTAAGAACCCTGGCGGATTCCTGGTAAGAGATCTCGCTGTGCGACAGCCTCCAGCGAGCGCGCGGAGGCCGCCCGGCCTCGCAAGGTGCCACCTTCGCCCAGGCCGGTCCCGCCGAGCGCTGCCCTCCGGAGCCGCCTCCGGCTGCGTCGCGGCCCCGTCGGCTGCCAGAGTTTCCTCATCTGCTTATAGCTCGGGGCTGCCTTCATCGCAGGAACAGGTCTCAGCTTTGTTAGCAGCAGAAGGCGACAGCCCATGGGGCTGCTCTGCGTCCTGCAGCCTGTGGGGCTCGTGTGTCCCCTGGGCCCTGGCTGCCCGGCCCCACGGAGGCTCCGGGGGGACCCTGGCTTGGAGTCCGCGGTGGTCGGACGCCCCGTGCGTTCGTGGCGCCGTCCCCGCTGTGGGAGCAGCAGCGCTCAGGGGGTCTGGGGGGCTGCATGCCCTGATGCTGAAACCACGCGTGGCCTCCGAGCAGGCACTGGGATGTGTGGGGGCTCTGCAGGAAAGGAAGGAGCCAGCAGAGCCGTCCCTTCGGAGGGGACCGAGGCGCAGTGGGGTGGAGATGTTGGTGGCAGGAGGAGGCCCCTCTTGTCCCGCGTGTGCTGAGGGGCTGCAGGGGCTCGGGGCTGAGGCCTCCCTGGTGTCTCCTCTCCCCAGGACTGCCTCAAGGCCTGTCAGGAGCAGATCGAGGCCGCCTTGGCCGAGAGCCTGAAGCAGGTGTCCCAGAGCCAACAGGAGTACAGAGCCTCCAAGACTGCTGCTTACCCCGCCAGCCAGCCCACCGGGACGCCCACAGACGTCACGGACATCAACCTGTGACCCGGCTCCCCTTCCCGAGAGCCGCCCAGCCCCRTGAGAGCAGGACCTTGCCCTGGACACCCAAAGCTCTTTGGCTTCCACCTGCCCGTCCACCAGCCCTGTCCGTTTGGAGCCCGCTGAGGATTTGCTCGCCTTGCTGGATGCAGGAGGGCTCCGTGCTGGCCCATCACAGCTCCTAGTGCTGGACAGGGGCAGCGGGGGGGTTTGGGGACCCTCGTGATGAGCCGTCGAGGTGGGTGCGGGAGGCTCAGTGGCTTCTGCAGGTGGCAGGGGTGAGGTGACCGTTTCATGGAGGTGGGACTCAGGAAGAGCTGGGGAGGGGGTGCACAATCCAAAACCAAGTTGTAAAAAGTTTCTCCGTTCGCGTTCCCCTTAGCCCGGGTGGCCGCTCGTCGCTGTCCCCCCGTTACCCCCGCAGCCCTGGGGGGGCCATCGGAAAGGCAGAGGGAGCCTCGCGCTCGGCTTCCCCACCAAAATATCCGTAACCCCCCTCCTGCTCCCCCCTGGGGGCTGCGGGACTGTGCGACCCCCGAGGGCGGAACAGGGCTCTGGGCGCCCGGGGCTCCGGTGGTCCTTGTCACRTAGAGGCGGCCGGGGGGCGAGCGGCGCGGCGGCTTCTGCGGCGGGAATCGTGCGGTAATCGTGTGGGAATCGTGTGCCTTGTGTCTCGCTGCGTTGGCCGTGGGGGCTGCGGGTTCTGCCTTGCTCCAGGGACGTGTCCCCAGGGCCGGGGCTGCCGCTGCCCCCCCAGGCTGCTTAATTTATTAGTGACTGCTGGGAAAGGGGAGGGAGGGAAACTCGCCTTCCTTGCTGGGGCCGGGCTGCCGCGTCCCCCCCTGCCTAAAGTGCCTTTTCGTCCCCTCCGCGGGCCCTCGCCCTGGAAGCGGGTTCCGTGGCCGGTGTGTTTTCGGCAGGGGAGCCGTCAGCCCTGACGTTCCCCGGCCCGTTTGAATGTGCTGCTATCGCGCGGCCCACGGCGAGGGGCCGCTCTGCATCCCCCGGGCTTTGCGGCGGGTCCTGGGGGGGGAAGCCGCTGCCCCCTTCAGTCGGAGGGTGACTGCGTTTCTGTTGTGTTCTTGTTGATCCTGTTAGTTTTTATAAAAGTGTTTTTTTTTTTTTTAAGGAAAAAATAATGCTGCTTTTCTAAGAGAGGACCATTAAATTGTAGTGTTGTATTAACAAAGAGAAGCCAGAGGCGCTGCRGGGACGGGAGGCAGCGGTCGGTGCTCGGCGGCCCCGACGCGGGCAGCTGGGGCTGTTGCCTTCCTGGGATGTGGAGGAGGCTTCGGCACCGCTCCCTCCTGCCGCGGGAACGGGAGCCTTGGGCTGCTGCAGGAGCCCGGGCTGCTCGTCTGCCGCCRGCGTCTGCCAAGGGGCCATCTGCCACTGAGCCCTGCGAGCAGGGAGGGGAGCACAGAGCCTGGCTCGACTGCAGGAAAGGAATTATATATATAAAGGAGTTTTTAATTTAAGAGTAAACTGGTTTGGTGTTYGCATGCAAGAGTCCCACTGCTGGGAGAATCAGAGGGCCATATGACGTTGCAATAAAGTATTTTAAACAGATGCCAGCGGGTCCCGGTTCTTCCCTTTGGAAGTTGCTCTGCGGAGGGTGGGGGGCAGCGATGACCCCCCGCTCYGGGACGGAGCTGCTCTCCCTGCTCCTGGGGGGCTCCCATGACCCGGGGCACCAGGAGGGGCAGCGGGTGCGAGGGACTGGGGCGGAGGGGGGACCTGGGGACGTTGGCGCTGGAGCGCGGACGATGTCACGGAGACGGAGCAAGGCTGGAGGTTTCCCACGGGGCCTCTCCCGTGACCCTTCAGATGCCAGCGGAGGTGACACAGGCCCGGGCAGGGAGCGGGCGCCGAGCGCCCCGGCACAACCTGCGCGGGTGCCCGCCCTCCACCTCTCCCCGCTGCCTGGCTCCTTAAAGGAGGCAAAAGCAGGAAGATGCGGGGGGAAAGCACCATGTGCCACGGMGTGTGAGCACCCAAGGGCGCCACGTGCCGCCTGGCTTCAGCGGCTGCTGCTCCGTGGGAGGGCAGGGAGAAGGTGCCGGGCCTGGGGGGGCCGTGCAAGGCCCTGGCTGGGCACAGGGCAGCGGCTCCTCTCCCGGTGCCGCCTGCAGGACTCGGCCCCTTGCAGGGCAGGGCCGGGGTCTCACAACCGGGCAGGACCCCGGACCAGTGCAGTGAGGCCTAGGCCCTCAGCAGCTTCCTGGGAGCTGGGAAATCCCTGCTGGGGGCTCCTGGGTGTGGGGGACCCCAAACCTTGCCCCAGGGCAGCACACAGGACTGCTCAAACGCAGCCCCGAGGGGTTGGGAGGAAGGAGGGTGTGGAAAGGCCCTGGGAGCAGCAGAGGCGGCTGCACCAGCCCGGCCCTCGGGAGCCCTTCAGGCAGCRGCGTTTTCACCCCTCGCACCCTGGGGAACCCGCCCCGACCTCGCTGCTGTTTCTGCCCCACAGCACCTGCTCTGCTGGGTGGGAGCCACTGACAGGACAARGGGCAGTGGGTACAAGGCGAAACCCAGGCAGGTCCAGCTGCAGGGGAGGAAGAACCTCTGCACTGTGAGAGTGAGATCCCCAGCACAGGCTGTCCAGGGAGGCTGGGGAGGCTCCTTCTCTGGAGATCTTCCAAAGCCACCTGGATGCCACCCTSTGCCATGWGCTCAGGGTGTCCCTGCTGGAGCAGGAGGCTGGACTGGACGACCTCCACCAGCCTCTTCCACCCCCGACCTTCCTGTGATTGCGGCAGCTCCGCAGGGAGGCTCCAGCTCGTGGCTTTGCTCTGCCACCCGCTGGGGACAGGGGCAGGAGCAGATGGGCCGAGGCAGGGCCCCGCTGCGGGCGCAGCTGACGGGGCCACCCAGGGCTGCCGCACAGAGCTCAGCTTTTATTCTCCAAGTGGGAACAGGCCAAACGCTCCTGTTCTCCTGGCGGGCCCTGGTGGGACAAGGGACCACCCTGTCCTGTGATGAGCAGCATGAAGAAGGCAGTCCGGCTCAGGGGATGCTCCCAGTGCCCAGGCYGGAGCGGTGGGATCTCGGGGATGAAACTCGCCGCACCTCCCGGCGCCTCCGCTGCCCTGCGGAGCTCCCCRCTGCCCCCAGCCCCGGCCGGCACGAGGCCCCGGAGCAGCTCGGGGCAGCAGCTGCCCCTGCCTCCCCCTCACTCCATGGGCACCGGCTCCTGCCCCTCCACATCCCGGCTCTTGGAGTTCATGAGCTCCCTCCGGATCTCCAGAGAGATCTGGGGGTGGCTGTGGACCTTGAGCAGCTCCAGCAAGGCCTCCTTCTGCTCCGAGGAYAGGTCCTCCTTGTAGCGCTGGGCGAAGGCCAGGAAGCTCTGGTGCCAGAGCACGGGCAGGACGCGCTGCTCCGTGCGGAAGGCCAGGAAGTGGAAGACGAGCGCATCCACCACGCGGAAGGGCAGCGCGTACTTCTTGTCRACGAGCAGGCGCAGGAAGATGCTGTTGGCGCCGCTGTACTGCAGCTCGGCGATCTTCAGCATGGCAGCGCTGCGGGCAGGGGGGCACCTCAGCCCGCCGAACCCCCCGCCCGCCCCGCCGCCGCCCGGGGCTCCCGGGAGGCTCCCGCCGCCGCCCGGGGCTCCCGGGAGGCTCCCGCCGCCCGGCGCCGCCGCCTCACCTGGCGTGAAGGACGGGGATGGAGCACTTGGCGAGGATGCTGCCCACGATGATGGCCTCGCGCAGGGTGCACGTGCCCGACTCGCACAGCGGGATGAGGATCCCTGCAGGGCGGGAAGCATCAGGCACTGCGGGCCTCAAGCTGCCTTCCGTCCCGGGATCCCAGGATATCCGCAGCTCCCCCATCGCTTGATGCCATGGGAGGCCCAGCATCCTCTTCCTCCCTCCTTGTCACATATTTAGCGCCGTGTTTCAGACACGCGCAACGTGAACGCGGGGGGGGACGTTACCTTTGAACCAGGCCCCCGGCTTGAACAAGGCCTTCTTCAAAGCCATGTAGAGGTGGAAGTTGAGGCGCTTGTACTCGGCAATGTCGTCCCTGACCCGAGGCAGCAGCACCAGGTTGTAGAACCTCTGGGCCATCCTTTCTTTCAGGTTGGATGAAAATATCCTGGAAAAGGCAAAGCCCGAAGCTAGCTGTGATCTAGGCAGCACACGAGCAGGTCCTGGAACAAGTAACCACAGTTAGATCCCTTAAAACACCTGAGCTCAGGGATCCCCAGCACTCCCTTCACCTGGGCAGGAGGCAGCTACTGTTCTATTAACATTTATATCTGTTATTAATTTGCAAGGCAAAACAAAGAGGAAAACCTGCAATGGGCACCTCGCAGACCCTGTCCTACCTCGTTGCCTGGTACATGGCAGCTGCCGTCCACGTCTCCGGCTCCGTGATATAGAGGATCTGTTCCCAGTTGGATAAGGCAGGAATGATTTTAAAGGCCTTGGGAAGTTTGCCACTCCGGTATTTGGACAGGACCTTTAAAAAGGAAGAAAGGGACGGATGCGAGCGGGGCTGGGATGGAGCGGGAGCGAGAGCCGGAGCGCTGGGACGTGCCGGGGGCTGTGGAGGCGCTCACCTCCCGCACGCCCCGATAGACCTCCAGCACGCGGGGGTCGAGCTGGGGCAGGGGGCAGCCCCCCGCCTCCGACAGCGCCGACGCCACCTCCGTCTGCTTCTCCGTCAGCTTCTCCATGATGATGTCGGCCAGGGTGCGCCTGCGGCAGCGGGAGTGTGAGGGGGGGCAGGATGCGGGGAG